AGATCTCTAGTCTTTCCCATTCTATTGTTTTCCTGTTATTTCTTTGCATTGATCACTGAGGAAGGCTTTCTTATCTCTCCTTGTTATTCTTTGGAACTCTTCATTCAAATGGGGATATCTTTCCTTTTCTCCTTTGCTTTTTGCTTCTCTTCTTTTCACAGCTATTTGTAAGGTCTCCTCAGACAGCCATTTTGCCTTTTTGCATTTCACTTTCTTGGGGATGGTCTTGATCCCTGTCTCCTCTACAATGTCATGAACCTCATTTATTGTTCTTCAGGTACTCTGTCTATCAGATCTAATGCCTTGAATCTATTTGTCACTTCCACTGTATAATCAGTCTTCCCTGGTGGCCCAGACGGTAAAAGCATCTGCCTACAATGCAGGAGACCCCGGTTCAATCCCTGGGTCAGGAAGATCCCCTGGAGAAGGAAATGGCAACCCACTCCAGTACTCTTGCCTGGAAAATCCTATGGACGGAGAAGCCTGGTAGGTACAATTCATGGGGTCGCAAAGACTCTGACACGACTGAGAGACGTATCTTTCACTTCCACAGTATAATCATAAGGGATTTGATTTAGGTCACCCTGAATGGCTTAGTGGTTTTCCCTGCTTTCTTCAATTTCAGTCTGAATTTGGCAATAAGGAGTTCATGATCTGAGCCACAGTCAGCTCCTGGCCTTGTTTTTGCTGACCGTATAGAGTTTCTCCATCTTTGGCTGCAAAGAATATAATCAATCTGATTTCAGTATTGAGCATCTGGTGATGTTCATGTGTCGAGTCTTCTCTTATGTTGTTGGAAGAGGGTGTTTGCTCTGACCAGTGCATTTTCTTGGCAAAATTCTGTTAGACTTCGCCCTGCTTCATTCCGTACTCCAAGGCCAAACTTGCCTGTTTCTCCAGGTATCTCTTGACTTCTTACTTTTGCATTCCAGTCCTCTGTGATGAAAAGAGCTTCTTTTTTCGGTGTTAGTTCTAAAAGATCTTGTAGGTCCTCATAGCCATTCAGCTTCAGCTTCTTCAGCATTACTGGTCAGGGCATAGATTTGGATTACTGTGATACTGAATGGTTTGCCTTGGAAATGAACAGAGATCATTCTGTTGTTTTTGAGACTGCATCCAAGTACTGCATTTCAGACTCTTTTGTTGACTATGATGGCTACTCCATTTCTTGTAAGGAATTCCTGCCCACAATAGTAGATATAATGGTCATCTGAGTTAAATTCACCCATTCCAGTCCAGTGAACTAAAAGTTCACTGATTCCTAAAATGTTGATGTTCATTCTTTCCATCTTTTATTTGATCACTTCCAATTTACCTTGATTCTTGGGCCTCAGATTCCAGGTTTCTATGCAATATTGTTCTTTACAGCATTGGACTTTACTTCCATCACCAGTCACACCCACAACTGGGTGTTGTTTTTGCTTTGGCTCCATATCTTCATTCTTTCTGGAGTTATTTCTCCACTGATCTCCAGTAGCATATTGGGCACCTACCGACCTGGGGAGTTCATCTTTCAGTGTCATGTCTTTTTGCCTCTTTGTACTATTCATGGGGTTCTCAAAGCAAGAATACTGAAGTAGTTTGCCATTCCCTTCTCCAGTGGACCACGTTTTGCCATGACCCATCCATCTTGGGTGGCCCTACATGGCATGGCTCATAGTTAGACAAGGCTGTGATCCATGAGATCAGTTTGGTTAGTTTTCTGTAATTGTGATTTTCATAAACTCCTCTAAGTCTCACAATTTATATGTTTAATTAAATTTCAGTTAAAATGTCATAGAATTTCCTTCTTCCTATTTTTTGAGGGAAATTCATAAAATACTTCTGAATGATCCTTTAATGCCCACTGGGATGAAATATTGAAAAAAGGGAGCCACAACTGTGTTCAAAGTTAGGATAATTGGAGAACAGAAATTTGAAATCTGTTATATTATAAAATTACAGTTATTAAATTGTGTGATATTAGTGCATAATTAGAAGGAGGTAACTCAAGATGCCCAAGAAAGTCCAGAAATGGATCATAACATGTCTGAATTTAGTATTTGCTAGACTAATGAAAAAGGGTGACTCATTTGATAAACCTTAAAACAACTAGAACAAAAAGTATGCGAATACTCTCTGATCAAGGTAGGAAAATCTTTTCTAAAATTTTCTCTAAAGGAAAAGATGACTATATTTATTATATAGAGACAAACAAAACTCCTATAGCAAAAGAAATTAAAACTGTCAAGTTACTATATGTCAATTATATCTTAATTAAAAAAAAGAATAAAGCATATATTAGAAGAAACTGGCAAGTTAAAGGTCAAAATCATTTGCAAAATCTATGACAGATGAAGGGTGTTGTGTTCAATCCATATTTGGCTTCAGAAACTAATTTAAAACTGCAGTCCAGTAAAAAAGAGCAATATTAACACTTGGAGCTAAACTCTGTCATGGCCCAGGCCTATACCATGGCTAGAGCCCCCACCTGGACCCCTGACCTGGTAGGGTAGGGCTGAACCCTTATCAGAGATGAGGCAATGGGGGTGCTGGGGCTAAGGCCCTGGGGGAAGGGGTTTGAACCCAGAGCCTGCGTGCTAACTCGGCATGTCATCCTAGCCCAAAAGAGTGAGAGATGGAAATGGCCCATGGACTCTGGAGGAATCTGAGTAACAGCCGTGAAATGTTATTTTCCATCTGTCAAGCCGGCTGAGCGTGGAGGGAAGCACGTGCCCCAGCACAGGTGTCCGCCCTCCTCTTCCCCCAACAGGGGCAGGCTGGAGGCTGCATGGTAGCCCTCCCCACACAAAGCAATGTCCCTGCCCCAACCTGCGCAAATTCAGGAGACCCCCTGGGAATGGCTGGGGGCAGGGCTGACCAGAGGTGCCTTAGTAGCCCTCCCTGCACAAAACAATGTCCCCGCCCCCACCCCGCACAAATTCAGGAGACCCCCTGGGAATGACAGGGGACATGGCTGAAAGATGTGTATGGGTAGGCTCCCCAGGACACCGAGGACAGTTATGAAGTGGGCGCTTTCCTCCCTGCCATGTTACGGCAGGGCCCCAGTCTGCCTGGCATGCTGCCTTCCATCCAGGGCTCCGCTGGGCATCCCCACCCTCCACCCCCATGCTCCATCCCTCCATCCCTCCATCCCTCCCTCGATCCCTCCATCCCCTCCCTCCATCCTCACCCTCCATCCCTCCATTCATCCATCCATCCCCTCCCTCCATCCCTCCATCCCTCTCATCTCTCCATCCCCTCCCTGCATCCCTCCATCCATCCCTCCATCCATCCATCCATCCCCTCCCTCCATCCCTCCATCCCCTCCCCTCATCCCTCCATTCCCTCCCTCCATCCCTCCATCCATCCATCCATCCATCCCCTCCCTCCATCCCTTCATCCCTCCCTCAATCTCTCCATCCCTCTCATCCCTCCACCCCCTCCCTGCATCCCTCCATCCCTCAATCCCCTCCCTCCATCCCTTCATCCCTCCCTCCATCCTCACCCTCCATCCCTCCATCCATCCCTCCCTCCATCTTCACCCTCCATCCCTCCATCCATCCCTCCCTCCATCCTCACCCTCCATCCTTCCATCCATCCCTCCCTCCCTCCACCCCTCCACTCTCTGCCTCGAACCAGTTTCCTGTGAGCTCTCTGAGCCGCATAACAGGCCGTCTCCTTGCTCACCTCCTCCACGGCCATCTTCTCTGTGCTGTTCATGAATCTCATCTGTCTTTACGAGCAGATTTCTCCATCTGCCCTGGAGAGGATTCGTTCCTCCATCCTATCAGGCTGGGATGAAAGCACATTTAAACATTACTGCCCACGGAGATAACGTGTATATACTTTTAAAATCTCCACAATAAGGAGCAACTTGCCCTATGTCCTTCAGAGTCCACAGTTTCATTGACACCAGCTAAGTTTGACAGGAATCAGCAAGTCCAGAAATTCCCAAGGCTCTGCTGGAAACGGGGGATCCCACCCTTGCCTTGTCTGCTTATAAAGACGGATGTGATTCATGAACACGGAGAAGTTGGCCGTGAAGAAGATGAGCAAGGAGATGGCTGGTTCCAGAATCAGAGAGGGTTGGCCTGGGGCCTGGGGCCACACTGCCCTTTTTTATCCACAATTACTCAGCTCAGTGGTGCCTCGGTCTCTACCCCAGCATGTTTATTGATGCCGTGATGAATGGGGCGGCATCGCCAGGGGAGAAAAGCCCCTTCCTGAGTGCATGGTGATAGCCGCCTGCCCTGTTTCTCCAGGGCATTTACCCTGCGCTGTACACAACAGTCAGAGGCCATCTGGAGCCGCTCAAGGACGCTGAGTGCCCACCACGAGCCCCGTCCCCCCGTTTTTGTCTCCAGCTCAGGACGTTTGTAGCCACCTACTGTGTGCGTTGTGTGTGCGTCCTGCGGCCTGGGGCCTGGGGCGGTGAAGGACGGGGAAGCCTGGCCTGCTGCAGTTCATGGGGTCGCAAAGGGTCGGACGCGACTGGGCAGCTGACGAGCGGCAACTTTCTGTGCGGAGTGTGGACTCGGGGCCTGGCGTGGTGGGGACAGAGAGAGGGGAGGGGCAGCAAAGACTTCATGGGCAGGGGGAGACGCCCTGTCCTCAGGGGCCTGCCAGCCCAGTCCTCTGATCCACAGCGAGCCTCCCAGAGGAGCAAAGAAGGTACCCAGAACATCCTCCCGGTTCAGAACGGACTCTGACTCAAGATTTCTTAGAGTGGTAACTGAGGAGCTCCTCTGCAGAGGCTTCCAGTTGTCTCCTATTTCCTAGAAATGGAATCTTTTTTAGCCACACCCATGGCTGCCTGGAATAAAACCACACTGCCCAGCTTCACACGCATCTCTGTAGGAGCCTGTGACCCAGGGCCCAGCCAGCAGGTGGGAGTGGGTCGTGGTCCCTTCCTGCCGCCCAGCACGAGGGCAGACCGGTCAGAGCTTGGACACCTTTCTATGACCACGAGGGCTGTCTGGTGACACTGGAGCAGGGGATGGAGCCTGGGACCCCGGCAATCACGTGGCGCAAAGCTGCCCGAGCAGCCTGGACGTGGCTTCTGGAGCTCTGGCCTGAAGGAACGAAGCCGTGCGTGGTGAAGCCTGTGCTCATCTGGGGTCCCTGCTACCTGAAATAAAGCCAATCCCAGTGGACTGAAGTGCCTGCTGTGTGTCAGTGCCTCGTGGGAAAACGGGAGATGTGACGACAAGCAAGACTGAGACAGTCCTGCTCTCAGGGAACGTCCACTCAAGCGAGAGAAACAGAGAAAAGGCAACAAACCAGAAAACGTGCATCTTTACAAGTCCTGATAGGTTTAAGGAGGTAAGGCGGTAGCTCAGGCTTCCCAGGTGGCTCAATGGTATAGAATCTGCCTGCAATGCAGGAGAGGTGGGTTCGATCCCTGGGTCAGGAAGATCCCCTGGAGAAGGGAATGGCAATCCACTCCAGTATTCTTGCCTGGAGAATTCCATGGATGGAGGAGACTGGTGGGCTACGCCATGGACAGTCCATAGGGTCACAGAGAGTCAGATACAACTTCGAGACTCACGGGTTGCCATTCCCTTCTCCAGGGGATCTTTCCAACCCAGGAACTGACCCCAAGTCTCCCGCATAACAAGCAGATTCTTCATCACCGGAGCCACCAGGGAAGCCCCCAATAGCAGCAACAAGGTGATAACTTGCAAAGCCAGAGACGGGCAGGGACAGGGGAGAGCAGATGGGGAGTCTTCCCAAAGGAGGTGGCTTTGGGAAGATGGGTCAAGGAGAACAGGACGCCTGTTACAGGGAACTGCTCAAAAGTCGGGATCAGAAGAGATGGGGGTCTGCCTGTGATGGGCCAGGGGGCCACCGCAGGGATGAGCCAGAACCCGAGCTGTGGAGGGTGTGGGCTCTCGAGCGTCGGGAGAGGGCCCCCGGGTGGTCTTCTTCTGGAGCAGCGCCTGGAGCTGGAGCTGGCTTTGGGTGGGGTGTGTCCAGCACTGGCCCCAGTGTCTCCACACTCGGGGTGATGCCCTTGGAAGAAATGCTAATTCCTGGGCCCTGCCTGCTGGAGGGCAGGGCCTGTCTGATTTCCTGTAATTGGATTAGAGTTTATGAAGTCTAACAGCCCAGTTTTAAGGGCCTCAAGGTCATCTGGGCCAATACCCTCCGCCGGCCTGAGACCCCGCCTGCCCTCTGGCAGAGGGCCCTGACTTCCTGCAGGACAGCTGTCCTCGAGGGCCACAGACCTCTCCTTACGGGAGGTTGTACTACGCTGAACTGGAGTCTGACCCCTCTTCGAGCACTTCCTCTGGAACCATTGAACATAAGATGAATCTCTTTTCCAAACGAAAAGCCGTCAACCACATGCACTCACTCATCAGAGCCGTAAGTCTCCTCTTTTTCTGGTTGAATGTCTTCAAAATCCGCAGTCATTTCTCTCTTTATTGGCTGAAGCTCAGCCTCCCGGGGCAGCAGCCTAGGAAGGACAGTCTCCTCCCTGAGTCAGCTCAACATGGCTCATTATTAGAGAGATCAAATCAAAACTACAGTGAGGTACCAACTCACTCTAGTCAGAATGGGCATCATGAAAAAGCCTATAAGCAATAAATGCTGGAGAGACTGTGAAGAGAAGGGAACTCTCTTACACTGTTGGTGGGAATGTAAATTGGTGCAGCCACTGTGGAGAACAGAATGGAGGTTTCCTTAAAAACTAAAAATAGAATTACCATGTGATCCTGCAACCCCACTCCTGGGCATATATCTGGAAAGGACAAAAACCCTAATTTGAAAAGATACATGCAGTCCCATGTTCACAGAGCACTATTTACAACAGCCACAACATGGAAACAACCTAAATGTCCATCGACAGAGGAGTAGATAAAGAAGATGTGGTACATATGTACAATGGAACGCTACTCAGCCATAAGAAGCATGAAATAATGCCATCTGCAGCAACACAGATGGACCAAGGGATGGTCACACTGAGCGAAGTCAGTCAGACAGAGGCAAATACCATATGATATCGTTACATGCGGAATCTTAAAAAAATGATACAAATACATTCATTTACAAAAGAGAAACAGACTCACAGACCTATTAGAAAACACACTTATGATTACCAAAGGGGAAAGGCTTGGGGGAGAGATAAAATGGGAGTCTGGAGTTGACGTATACACGCTGAGTGTTAGTCATTCAGTCGTGTCCGACTCTCTGCGACCCCATGGACTGTGGCCCGCCAGGCTCCTCTGTCCATGGGATTCTCCAGGCAAGAACACTGGAGTGGGCTGCCATTTCCTCCTCCAGGGGATCTTCCCACCCCAGGATCAAACCAGAGTCTCTCTTATTGCAGGTGGATTCTTTACCGCCTGAGCTACTAGGGGAGACTCCATGTACACACATGACTGTACCTAAAACAGATAACTAATAAAGACCTACTGTATTGCACAGGAAGCTCTGCTCAACATTCTGTAATAACCTACATGGGGAAATAATTTGAGAAAGAATATATATATATATATATATATATATATATATATATATATATATATATAAAACACCTGAAACTAACACAGCATTATAAATCAATGGCACTACAATATAAAATAAAAATTTAGAAAAAGTAAAGTCACAACTTAAAATAAAACAACAAAGAATGGAGATAAACTGCAGATGATGAAGGCAGCAGGCGTTGGGCAGTGTCCCTTGCTGGCTCTCTAGATGCAGCTCCACTTTCTACTCACAGACTGTGGGTCAGAGGGCCCTTTAAGACTTTTTAGGTCAAGCTTCAGTCTTAGCTTTCTAGGGCCGCCATAACAAATGACCACACACTGGGTGGCTTCAAACAACAGAAACGGTTGCCCCCTCAGTTCTGGAGGCTGGCAGTCCAAGCCCTGGCGGGTTGCTTTCCCCAGAGGGTTCAGAGGAGCAGCTGCTCCAGGCTGTCTCCAGCTCCCAGAAGGCGCTGGCAGGTCGGGGCCCTCGGCCTACAGGGCATCCCTCGGCTGCCGCTCTGCACGTGGGCCTTTCTCTGTTCCTGGGTGTCCTCTCCCCTCTCTTCTCTTTGAGGAGGATGACTGTCTTTGGGGCCCCCCTTAATCCAGGAAGATTTCATTTGAGATCATTACCTTAATTGTATCTACAAAGGCCCTTATTCCAAACGAGGTCACATTCTGAGGTTGCTGGTGACCACAGCTCTCCGTTCAGCCAGTCAGTTCAGTCGCTCAGTCGTGTCCGACTGTCTGTGACCCCATGTACTGCAGCACTCCAGGCTTCCCTATCCATCACCATCTCCCAGAGCTTGCTCAAACTCAAGTCCATTGAGTCAGTGATGCCATCCAACCATCTCATCCTCCGTCGTCCCCTTCTCCTCTCGCCTTTAATCTTACCCAGCATCAGGGTCTTTCCTAATGAGTCAGTTCTCTGTATCAGAGGACCAAAGTATTGGAGCTTCAACTTCAGCATCAGTTCTTCCAATGAATATTCAGGACTGATCTCCTTTAGGATGGACTGGTTGGACCTCCTTGCAGTCCAAGGGACTCTCAAGAGTGTTCTCCAACACCAAAGTTCAAAAGCATCAAGTCTTCAGCACTCAGCTTTCTTTATGGTCCAACTCACATCCATACACAACTACTGGAAAAACTATAGCCTTGACGAGACGGACCTTTGTCGGCTAAGCTCTGAGGTGACCCCAATCGCCCCACTACACCGCTGTACCTGACAGGTGAACAAAGTGAAAGGGGTGTGCCAGGGTGTCCCCAGTGGCTTAGTGAGAGGATTGGACAGCAGTGCTGGGAGGCCACAGACAGATGTGGTGAAACCCGCTCGCCGCAAAACATAGTGTTTCTGTGAGCTTCTCAGCTCACCAAAGCTCACCTCTTCTAGAGACAAACTTCTGAAAAAAGTGCCGTTTCGAAGATAAGCATCCTAAACAGTATACATGCCCCCCCCCACCCCCAGCTTACTAAACAGAATCTAAAGCTAAAAAGCCCATCACCACCGTGCCAACCTGTTGGTAACTCGGGGCCATTGCTAAGCAGAGGCGGTGAAGTGGTGATGCTCAGCTGGGCTGTGGGCCCTGTACATTCCTGAGCTTCCTGAATTTCCTGAGAATGCTCAATTCTCAGAAGGGCAGCTCATTCATTCATCACCAGCTCTCATAGGACACTTGTCTCTTAAAGAGATAAGCTGTAAAATTCATGGAAACCTTCTATTTTGGGGGGGGAATATTAATCTTTATCTGCTTTCTGTATTTTTCATCCTCATCCCATTTCCAGCAGATCACCCAGCTCTTTGTCAGTCTTGCCTCAGGGATTTTTTATTTTTCCAGGCAGAAAGCCAAAGCAGTTTGAAGCCAAATGCTCTTTCTGTCTTTTGTAAAAAGTTAAGCCTGTTTCATAAAACTCTAATCCCAAAGGGTGAGTGGGAGGGAGAGAGTGATTCCCTGAGATTTGGCAGGGAGCAGTCCCGAGGGCCCGGGGTCTGAGCAGAGCCAGGCTGAGTCCAGGAAGGGTGTGGGCTGGCCACTGTGCCCCGAAGGCTGAACCCGGGCACCGCGGGCTTCCACTTGGGCGAGGATTCCTGAGTTCCAAGCATGGCCCCGAACAGGTTCCGACCTGGGGGCAGGAGAAGGATGCTGGGGAGAGGCCTCCGCTGGCACGACCACTCGAGGCTCTCTTCGGTCTCCTGGGCATCACGCAAGTTTCTTGATTCTCGAGCAACTCCAGGACAAGAGTTGTTTTTCAGTCTCTAAGTCGTGTCCAACTCCTTGTGACCCCACGGACTACAGCACACCAGGCTTCCCTGTCCATCACCAACTCCCAGAGCTTGCTCAAACTCATGTCCATTGACTCAGTGATGCCATCCAACCATCTCATTCTCTGTCATCCCCTTATCCTCCTTCAGACTTTCCAGAATCAGGGTCTTTTCCAATGAGTGACCTCTTCGCATCAGGTGGCCAAAGTATTGGAGCTTCAGTATCAGTGCTTCCAATGAATATTCACAGTTGATTTCCTCTAGGATGGGAGGGAGGGGTTGAATTTTCTGCCAGCCCCATAGGGTGGGGCTCAAAGTTGGGTTTAAGCTGACATAAGAAGATAAAGAAATGAACTTTCTGGATTTCTGGACAACATGGCACTGTAAATTAATGATTTCTGGCTTCTTCTCTGCTCCAAATCCATAGCAACCACACATAGAAGTCACAGCCACACTGCAGAACAAGCTGAGCATTTCAGAGACAGGACAGAAGACAGGAAGCAGGGAATGGGTGTAGGCTGGATGCGTGCTGGGCTTTGAGTCCAGAATCAGTAAAGTTATTAACAGTAATAGTGACTGAACGAGCCCCATCTGAGGCATGGAGGATAGGAAGACAGAGGCTGGCCCACTGTTTAGAGCCTCCCCCCGCGACAAGAGCGAGTAGAAATTTCCAGTTGAGTGCTTTCTACAGATGTGAGGACCAGTGTGGGGAAGGAGCCTCGTATCTAGGACCCGGGTGGAGAACACCTGCTCACTGACTGTGTCTGTGGTCAGCATAACCAGCAGGCAGCTCCAATCCTTTGGCCACCTGACGCGAAGAGCTGATGCATTGGAAAAGACCCTGATGCTGGGAAAGATTGAGGGCGGGAGAAGGGGGTGACAGAGGATGAGATGGTCAGATGGCATCACCGATTCAATGGACACGAGTTTGAGCAAGCTCTGGGAGTTACAGTTGGACAGGAAAGCCTGGTGTGCTGCAGCGTGTGGGGATGCAAAGAGTTGGACACGACTTGGTGACTGAACAACAGCAACAAGGCACGCTGTTAGCATTTCAAAAAGAAAAGGCAATAGCAGCCTACGAATGGCCATAAACTATAAACAAAAACTGCCAGAAACAAAAAGACCCAAACTGACAGAAATGAAAAAGATCTAACAAGAAACCTTTGGCTGAGTGGGTCACAACAAATTGTGGGAAATTCTTGAAGAGATGGGAATACCAGACCACCTGATCTGCCTTCTGAGAAATCTGTATGCAGGTCAAGAAGCAACAGTTAGAACTGGACATGGAACAACATACTGGTTCCAAGTTGGGAAAGGAGTACGTCAAGGCTCTGTCACCCTGATTATTTAACTTCTTGCAGAGTACATCATGCAAAATGCCAGGCTGCATGAAGCATAAGCTGGAATCAAAATTGCCAGGAAAAATATAAATAACCTCAGATATATAGATGACACCACCTTTATGGCAGAAAGTGAAGAGGAACTGAAGATCCTCTTGATGAAAGTGAGAAAAGAGAGTGAAAAAGCTGGCTTAAAACTCAACATTAAAAAAACCAAGATCATGGCATCCAGTCCCATCATTTCATGGCAAATAGATGGGGAAACAATGGAAACAGTGACAGACTTTATTTTCTTGGGCTCCAAAATCACTGCAGATGGTGACTGCAGCCATGAAATTAAAAGATTCTTGGTCCTTGGAAGAAAACCTATGACAACCTAGATAGCATATTAAAAAGCAGAGACATTACATTGCCGACAAATGTCTATAGAGTCAAAGCTATGGTTTTTCTAGTGGTCCTGTATGGATGTGAGAGTTGGATCATAAAGGCTGAGCACAGAAGAATTGATGCTTTCGAACTGTGGTGCTGGAGAAGAGTCTTGAGAGTCCCTTGGACTGCAAGGAGATCCAACCAGTCCATCCTAAAGGAAATCAGTCCTGAATATTCATTGGAAGGACTGATGCTGAAGCTGAAACTCCAGTACTTTGGCTACCTGATGGGAAGAACTGATTCATTGGAAGAGACCCTGATGCTGGGAAAGATTGAACACAGGAGGAGGAGATGACAGAGAATGAGATGGTTGGATGACATCACTGACTCAATGGACATGAGTTTGAGCAAGCTCTGGGAGTTGGCAATGGACAGGGAGGCCTGGCGTGCTGCAGTCCATGGGGTCAGACATGACTGAGTGACTGAACTGAACTGAACCAGAAACCTGGAAACAAAAAAGATGATCACTGTAGTAGAAATAAGCTAGTAGACAGAATAAAATCAAATCAAGTGCAGTCAGACAGATAGTAGGTGAATTGGAAGATAGATGGAAGGAATTCACCAAGAATGCATCCCAGAAGAACTGGAATTCAGAGGTCACCCAACATGAACAGCGACTCAGAGACACCTGGGTGTGGCTAGGCAACGCTGGCAGGAGGAGAGGAGCTGCGGAGAGAACAGGAAGAGGGGAGAGGTCATATCTGAACAGACGCTGGGAAGGACCCCAAACTGAAAGGAAACACAAATCCTCAGACCACAGCCACCTCTGACAATCAACCAGGAGAATACAAGGAACCCTCTGTCATCTCTGCTGTAGATTGTCGAGGAAACCCCAAGACAAACTGCTCAATGTAAGAATACTATTCCATATTTTTGCATTGTGTAAATAATAATATTAACAAAGATACAATAAAAGATATCAAATCTCTTTTCTGGTTCAGAGAGAATATGTAAATACTTTAGACTTCATTTGAGAAGATTTAGAGTTCGGAATGTCGACTGAAAACAAAGCCTAGCCAGCACAAGACTAGAAATAAAACCTGTAGCTTCCACAGCATTGTGGCGAAGAGAAGGACTTCAAAGAATTCCATCATGCCTGGAACGAGCAGACAAGATCAAAGGAAGCAAAGGAAATTCACGGTACTGAACTATCACACAAAATACGAAAAGCTGTCCCACTATTTCAGTATCCACTATACATAAAAGGGATTAAATTCAAGTGTAAAGGCTGGAGACTATAGGACTGAACCACTATCCCCCAAATTCAACTAAATGCCGCTTCCAAGATACACATAAAACAGATGACAGAGACAGGTCAAAAAAATAAAAAGAATGAAAGAAGCAAAGCAAACACAAATAAAAGAAAGCTGTTAGAATAAAGAAGTTAGATTTAGGACCAAACCTTCACAGTGCCACGGACAGGAGGGCTGGTTGCGCTGAGAGCCCACTCAGGTAGCTGGCAGCCTGCACCCTCCCACCCTGGCTGTGCGATCAGGACCCGGGTGGCCGGAGGGGCCTCTGCCTGGGCTGTTGCTGGACAGAGACCCCGCAGAGCCACAGGCTGGCTCTGAGCACTTCTGCCTGAAAGGGCCCCACGTTGCTGCCCACAGCTCACTGGCCAGAGCAGGTGGCCCACGCTCCTGAACTCAGCAGGTGGGACCCTCAGACTCACCTTGGAAAACGTAAAGTATCGCATGGCGATGGCTCACCCCGCAGTGACCACGTGGGAAGGGCGTCCAGCCGGCCTGAAGGCTGAACACACACCTAAGACCTGCATTCATGCACAAGCAAGATTTTTCACCCTGTGGGGCCTGGCAGTTTGGGAGGTGCCCTTTCTTCCCGATTCCTCTGCTGACTGCTGAAGGCCACCCTCAGGGAACGTCAGAGCACCCACTTGTTTTCCTTCTGGGGGCCTGCCCTGCCCAAAGCTTCCTCCCAGGTGTGTGGGCCCCAAGACAGAATGACACAGGCCCTGCCACGTGGGTTGGGATAACCGCCGACCTCCCCTGAGAGCTCTGCTCGATGGGGACATCCCACAGAAGGTCACGACAATGAGACCAGCAGCCATCCATGGGGGTGGGGGGGTAAGACCCCAAGACACGAGTCGGAAGCTGGAAGCCGCACAGAGGCTGTGTGTGGAGACCGCAAGCCGTGGAGAAGGGCCGTCCATGGGGGTCAGGGCCCGGCCAGGGAGCCCGCACAGTGAGCGACAAGCAGGCGTGACCATCCAGTCCTGAGAGGTCTGCCTCGACCTGCGTCCCGTCTCTTCTCTCACTTCTGGGTCCCGCCAGCATCAGCTCTCCTTGCCTCATTCCTGGAGCTCATCTTGTTCCCAGACACCAACGAGGGCTGCAGACAGCAAGCTCAGTTTCTTCATGATCCCAATATTACACTTAAGGGCCTTCTGGTGGGAAGATTTTTCTTAGCTTGTATTGAAGGGTAGTTGAGTTACAAGGTTGTGTTAATTCCTGCGGTACAGCAAAGTGAGTCAGTTATACACACACAGATACTCTTCCACCATGGTTTATCCCAGGATATTGAGCGTATTAATCGTCCCCTGGGCTGTGCAGCAGGGCCTGTTGCTTATCCATCCTGCACACAGTAGTTTGCATCTACTAATCCGAGGCTCCCAGCCCTCCCCTCCCCCACTCCCCGCACGTCTGTTTCTGCTTTGTAGCAGCTCCGGGGACTTCACTCCCAGCTTCTCAGTCCAACGTCAGTGCGTAGGGTTTCCGGAAAGCCGGGGTGGAGCAAGAGCCCAGGGCTCGGAGTTGCCAGACTTGACTATTCCAGTTCCTCCAGCCTTTAGCTTGTGATCTTGATCAAGATTTAAACTTCCAGCTTCATTTTCTCTTGTCATGAGAACACTTTCCCCGCCTGCTCGAGGGCCCGCAGAGTGCCAACCCCGTGCAGACGCAGGAGCGATGGGGCTGTTTGGGGATGGCGACGCTGGGGCCGCCAAGCCTGCCGCTTCCCTGCTGGCCTGTCGCACAGTCGGGGTGTTTCTCTCTCCTGGGCTCCCCCTTCTCAGAACCCACAGGTTCTTTTCCTCACCTTTGAACAATGACTGCACTTAGAGGATGTATAACACT